GGGATGGTCTGATCAGGCCATCCCAACTCTGTGCCATTGTTTTCCCCCCCCCCTTCACAGTATGCGCATCATCGCAAACTCCATAGGGAGCCCTCAGTGTGGAGGTGCAATTCACCGTTTCCTCGTTTAAGCACGTGGGGGGGGGGAAATGGCACACACAAAAAAAGACTCACCCGCAGTTGCATCCGATCACACACTGACAGACTGCACCCACAGCTTCAAAGGGAGTTGTGTGAGCGTGCAACTGTGGGTCAAATTCTTCCAGAGGAAATAGCTTCATTCCCCCCCCCCCGTTTTATCTGGCGTGTATGACCACACCCCTTTTATACTCTTGAGGAGTCTGCTTCCCTTTTCATACAAACCAGGGGTCGCTTCTGAGTTAAACCCTCTGAATAACTGGGTAAGAAATACCTTCCTCTTTCTAGGAGCGATAATCATTTTTCTGTTTGGCTAGACTGGCAGTTTTAAACCTCCTGTTCAGTCTCTTTTGTCAAACCTAAACCCCAGTTCTGGAGACTGTGAATAAATGGAATTCAGCTTAGAATTCAGCTTAGACTTTTAAATTCTGATTTCTGAACTTTTTCTCAAATGTGATGGTACACACTCAGCAATGCTCCCTCTAAGCTGTGGAGTCTGATGAGCAAACATTCTACTTTGTGAGCGACTGTTAATAATCCTTTCCTGGGGTCTCTCTACCTCCCCCCCCCCCGCATTAGGCTTGGACCAAAGAATCGCTGTGAATGCGCTCAAACCAAGATGACAGTCTATCAGATGGCGGACTATATTGCTAAGGATCAAATTGCCTCCATCACGGAACGACGAGAGAAGGAATTTGAAGAGTATCAGAGAAGGTAAGCTGAACTATCCTTGGAGAACAGAGGCCACATTGCCCAAGAACTGCCTTGCTGGACTTCACCAAGCGTATTGTCTCCAAGAAGCTGGTGCTCCAGGAAAGGCCTGTGGGGAGGAGACGAGAGCCAGTTTGGTGTAGTGGTTAAGTGCGCAGACTCTAATCTGGGAGAACCAGGTTTGATTCCCCACTCCAACACTTGCACCTCCTGGATGACCTTGGGCAAGCCATAGTTCTGTCAGAGTTGTTATCTCAAGGACAGTTCTGGAAAGAGCTCTCTCAGCCCCACCTACCTCACAGGGTGTCTGCTGTGGGGAGGGGAAGGGAAAGGAGTTTGTAAGCCACTCTGAGACTCTGAGGGAAGGGCGGGGTATAAATCCAATCCCTTCTTTTTCAGTGGAAGAGCCTCTGCTTTGCATGCAGAAGGTCTCAGGTTCAGTCTCAGGCATCTCTAGTTAAAAAGGCCAGGCGGTAGGTGATGTGATAGACCTCCACCTGAGTGCCTGGAGTGTTGCTGTCAATCAGAACTGACCTTGATATACTAATGGTCTGATTCCATATAAGTCGGCTTCATGTGTGTTCATGTATGAAATCACTCAAGCTGGGACATAGTTTGTGGACCCCCCAATATCTGGTAATCAGAGAGAGAGAGCTGCCATTTGGTGTTGCCAGCTTTGGGTTGTGAGATTCCTGGAGATTTGGGGATGGAACCTGGGGAAGGTGGAGTTTGGGGAGGGGAGGAAGGTCGGCATCAAGTCTACCCTCCAAAGCTGCCGGGGGAACTGATCTCTTTGGTCCAGAGACCTGCTGTCATTCCAGGAGAGCTCCATGTCCTGCCTGGAGGTTGGCAACCCTGGATGTTACACAGGATTTCATTCTTAGCTGTTGTCATTTGTGTCGCCTTTGTGATTCTGCGTGTTAAAGACAAATATTCAGTGGCCATCCCAACAGCCTACATAAGGTGAACTATATTTTTATTTTTAATTATTTTTTTGCATTTATATCCTGCCCGTCCCGTAAACGGGCTCAGGGCGGGTCACAACATTTCAATAAATACAATAAAATTTAAAACACATTAAAACCTATCAAATCAATAGTCATGCTTGCCATAGGGAGAATCTGGACCATTGATGTAACTAGGTATGGCCGGTTTTCAGTAGGTAGGCGATGGCAACCTCGGGAAGGCCGTATGTGGACGCCCACTGCCTCAGCCAAAGGCCTGGCGAAAGAGCTCCATCTTGCAGGCCCTGCGGAACTGCATAAGATCCCGCAGGGCCCTGATCTCAATAGGGAGCCCGTTCCACCAGGTGGGGGCTAGGTGTCAGCTAGCTGCCATGCTTCCTTTGTTTACCTTCATCCCTGACCCTTGCACATGCTTGCTTTGCTTTGCTGCCGTGGATAACTTAAGGGAGGCTCGCTTTCATCCGTGAGAACTGGCTCAGCCAGACAGCGCTATCAGTGTAACCTTGATGAGAAGGGAGGGCTTGAGTTCCACTATCGGTGTGAATATTTCTGCTCTCGGGGGGTGGGGAGAGTCTCCCGTTTATGATGTAATGTCCCACCGGGAGAGTTCCCGCGCGAGTGCTTGAAGTTCATCTGCTTAGCTAGTTGAAGCATCAGAGTATATGTAGCGAGTCCCTTGCACTAATCGTTATTCCTAACAATGTACCTGTAGCACTTGGCAACAGACCAGTATTCCAATAAAGCATAATTTTTCCTGAAGAGTGTGTTTGGACTTGCTTGCTGTTGATCCTGACACTAGGGCATAAAAAGTCCTGGCCCTGGTCGAGGCTAGGCGGACGACCTTTGGGCCAGGGATCACCAGGAGATGTTGACTCTCAGTGCGTAACACTCTCCAAGGCGTATATGGGAAGAGGTGATTCTTGAGGTATGTTGGTCCCAGGCTGTATAAGGCTTTGAATTTTTATTTTATTTATTTATTTTTCATATTTATATCCCGCCCTCCCCAGGTGGGCTCAGGGCGGCTAACAAGGGCAGGACACAGCCATGCCAGAATAAAAACATATAAAAACATAATAAACATTCAGCATTAAAACCACTGTGCTCAATTCGTAACTGATGTCCTAAGTCCAAGATGGTAACTCCACAGTTACAGATGGTGCTCCCAAAAAGTACATGTCCAGTGACGATGGCCGAAGCTCTTCTACAATGTCCAACGTCTTCCTTGGGCCTCGTTGATGCATCCTTTGAGATACCTTAACGGTGGTGGTATAATGGGGCGGTGGCTCCTACTCAAAGGCCTGGCGGAAGAGCTCCGTCTTGCAGGCCCTGCGGAACTGCAGAAGGTCCCGCAGGGCCCGGATCTCCCCCAACACCTTGAAGCGGATCCGGTACTCAACTGGCAATCGATGCAGCTGAAATAGTTCTCGGAGGTGAAAAGTAGAGGGGTCAGAGAGAAAGGGAGTAGCCGGCTATTGTTACCATTAGAGTAGGAACTGCCACATACTGGCGGGGAGCCGCCTGCCCATGCCTTGCTCAAGGTTGGTGTTGGAAGCGGCACTGGTGGCGCTTCCGTGAGCAGAATGGAGGCACCTTCACATTTGAGCCTTCTGATGAAGAGAAAGCAACTATGTGAAGAGATATGACATCTTCTGGACGGAAGATATAAAAACAGTGTGCAGAGTCACCTGTCTGGAAGCTCTTCGTATTCTCTCAAGAGACAAGAAGGTTGTAGTACCTGTAAAAAGGTAAAGGTCAAGGTTCTCTTGCTCAAAAGCCAGTCGAATCCGACTCTAGGGTTGTGGTGCTCATCTCCGTTTCAAAGCCGAAGAGCCAGCGCTGTCCGAAGACGTTTCTGTGGTCATGTGGCCGGCATGACTAAACACCAAGGCACACGGAACGCTGTTACCTTCCCACTGAAGTGGTACCTATTTATCTACTTGCAATTTCTTGCTTTCGAACTGCTAGGTTGGCAGGAGCTGGAACTAGAGATGGGAGCTCATTGCGGCACCCGGGTCTCGAACTGCTGAACTACTGACCTTCCACAGCCTGCAGTTCAGCGTCTTAACCACTTGAGCCACCGCAGCTCCTCTAGTACCTGTAACCACTAAGGAAAACATGCAGATACTGGTGAGGCTGGCAAAGCTGGATTCTCTGGAGGATTCTCTGGAGGATGTGACTGACTTCCCTGTCATAGCAGAAGCTTTAAGATGCCCCTGTAACATTGTTTTTAATGGTCCAGTTGCTCAGAAACTCCATCTGGAACTGAACCCAGCAGCTATGCTTTGCAGTCGGCTGAAAAAGAGCAAGGGCCAACAATTTGTCGAGGACATGAAATGATTTGATCTATGCCTCCTGTTCCTCCTCCTGCGTACAGATGTGAGGTGACTGTTGCATTATGATCTTCAGGGATTGCCATTGTTGACTCAGGCCTTGGGAAGTGCATTTAGCATAAGATGGACAGATAAATACATTACAGCTGAAGATGAAATGTCATCCCTGTCACTGCAAGAGGCAGACTGTGCGACTGAAGCACTGAAAGCTCCCCTTAATAAATAGTTCTCTAAATATAGAGAAGTGCTTGGATCCAGATCGATGGATGCCACCCTCCAGGTGGAAGCTGGGGATCCCCTAGAATTACAGCTCATCTCCAGACTACGAAGATCAGTTCCCCTGGAGAAAATGGATGCTTTGGAGGGTGGACTCTGTGGCATTGTCCTCCCCAGGCTCCATCTGCAAATCTCCAGGAGTTTCCTAACCTGGATCTGGCAGTGTAATGATTTCATGTTTAACTGTGTGTGTGTGACTTTAAAAGTTTGGTTGCATGACTGTATGATAGTCGAGGGTAGTGGAAACAAGCCAGTGGTGTGATTGGTGAGTGACAGAGAGGGGGAGGGTTTTTGGAAATGATTCTGTGTGGATGAACAGATATGTCAGTCAAGAGAGTCAGTTAGAGAGATGACAGTTGAGGAAGTTAGTGAGAAGTTTCGTTCTGGGGACTGAAGGAGAGACCTTCTTGTGTGTGATAGAAGAGATTAAGTTCTGTGTATGAAGAAGCGTTGAATGTATAAGGAAACAACAGTTAAATAACAGTTTGAGTGACAGATTGCAGTGTAACAAGAAACATTTATGACCCTGAGTTAATGGCCCCGTTCATACGAGGCAGTTTGGGCCGGGAGCGGGCCGGATTGGAAGCGCAGCAAACGGGCACGATCACACGCCAACATCTGTCTGGCGTCGCGCTCGCGCCTCCAATCCGGCCCTTCCCCCAATGAAGCGCGTCAAAGATGAACCACCTACCTTCGGTCCGCTTCATCCTGGCCGTGGGATCGGCGGCGCATCTTGCCGCCGTCGCATCCCTGGCAGCCTCCCCCTCTGACTAGTATCTTCCTCCCCAGCATCTGATCGTGCCGGGGAGCAACGGAGCGCGGCTATCGGGATCCGTGGGATCCCGCCGCGGCGTTTCTTTTTTGGCGCGGCTTTTAAAAGCCGTTCTTCGCCCCGTCTTTTCCCTGCCGTGTGGCAGGGGCCAATAAGTTACAATGTTACTTGAAAGGTCCCTGTCAGAAAAGGGAGCAGATCTTATGTGAGACATAAAGCAAGTGTTAAAAATATTCACAGTACCGGTTACCTAGTTTTACTATATTATTTACAAATTATTTCAATAAATCTACTTTTATTCAAGTCTGCCAGTTCTAAAGAAATAATCCCTCAGGAAACACATAGACCCTCATGAACGCCTTAAACCCTTGACTTACCTACCCAGTGATAGATATTATATTATAAAGGTTTGGAAAGCCTTAAATTTCCTGGTGGCAGCCGGATTACCCAGTAGAGAAAAACATAAAGAACACTTTTAAAGGGAAACCAGACCTCCCCAATAGGATGGGTGTTAATTTGTATATTAGGAATTTTTATTTGGGTCTTAAACAGATGGTCAAACTGAGAAATATATGCCCGTTTAAAGTGGAAAATATATAGAGTTAGTTAAGCAGAAGCAGGAAAGAAAAGGGTCAGAACTGTTGTTTAGATAAGGGCGAATGTGTTCGTTTTTGCAAACAATATAGATTGTCCTCTAATCCAGACTGAATGGTGAAAATTATTTTAGAATCTTTGCTGACTAATGCATGAATGGAATGTAATATAACCAGATGGGAGCTATAGAGAGAGCAAGTTAATTGCAGGAGGCCAGATTGAAGGCTTAGAAAAATACATAACTCAATGTGGATATATTATGAATTGAACTGGATTAAGCTGTCCGTTATTTGTTGTCTAAAGATGATCACTGTACCGAATAGTATCCCGGCATGTAAGAGATTTAGAAAATTAAATAATAAAGGTTAGGAATTTAAGAGGCTGTTAAGGTGCAACGGTGCAACGGATAATAGATCAGATTAAAGATAAAAATACTGTATGTAAATCAAATCAGACAATCAACGTGACATGGGAAGAAATAGAGTGGATAATAGGGTGGGTGGGTGACGGATGTGTATCTTTTATGTATTGTGTTGAGGTGGTGGCTATACATGTTTGTTTTTGTTTGAATGTCGGTAAAGTGTTGTTAACCAATAAAAATTATTATTTTTTTTAAAAAAAGGGAAACCAGACCTCACCAATTAAGGGGACGTCACAGGCAGCCTTTCCCTCCATCCCCTGCTGGTGGCCAGGGGAGACATGGCAACCCTAAATTCCAGACAAATGTTTCCATAAGCATGAGGATCTCCACTAGGGCTGCCAATTCCCCCCGGGGGGCGGGGATTTCCCCTCTCTAAGGGCCCCCTATCCGCCAGTCCGGATCTGGCCGGCAGGGGGAACTCCACCCCCGAAGTGGCCAGATCGGGCCGACGGGCCCAGCATGATGATGTAGCCCATAAGTGACGTTATCACACTGGGCACATCGCTGGGTGACACTCTGGCAATCGGTCTGAAAACTCCATGGTACCATGGCACTTCCGGGCTACATCATCACGGCGCACATGCGCGAAGTCCCAGCCAGGGACCCAAACTCCCCCGCTAAACAAAGGTAAGCACTTGGCAACCCTAATCTCCACCCATGGAGTCTGGTTTTCTGGCACAGCCCCCCACAGTCCTGTGCCTGGAGGTTCCCTCTCCCCCAGCTCCAGGGTGGGTGGGAACATGGGCCTTGTTGCATGGCTCACATTTTACTATGCTGAGTGAGAAAAAATTCTGCTCTGTGTTGTCCAGCATCCTTTCAACATTACCAAACCTAAAGAAAAAGGGTGGGGGAGAGAAAGCACAACTATTTATACATAACATCCTCATGTTTGCAGGCAAACAATGTGAGGATGTTGTATCACACGTGCATTGGGAGTTTTGTAACTCCTAGATGGACACCAACTCTTTTTCTGTTTGCAACCTAGGGTTGCCAGGTCCCCTTGTTGCTCAGGTGGGGGTGTGGGGGTTTTCTGGGGTGGGCGGGGACATTGCGCAGGGGGTGCTCTGGTATTTGGACAATATAGGGTTTTTTCTCTCTCAAACCATAAAGTTTGCCCAAATACCAGAGTGTCCCCACACGACATCCCCACCACGATGACATCAGTTCCGGGTGATGTCATTGTGTTGGGCATGTCATGCGGTGACGTCCCTGGTTAGGGGCGGGGATTCCCCTGCTGGCCAGCTGCTCCATGGTGGGCAGAAGCCCCTGAAATCAGTGGATGCCTCACCTGGACCTGGGGAATATCAAGTCTATTGCAACCACAGCAGGCAGGGAGATGCAGCTGTAGCTTCTTCTCCCCCCCCCACACACTTATTTTTGCATCCTCAAACCACCTCATGATGCTGCATTGGCTCCACTGGTAGGTAAGATTGCCCACTCCAGGTTGGGAAATTCTTGGAGATTCTGTGGCTGAGTTCAGACTGGCAGTTTGCCCCAATATAGGCATGTTTCAGAAACGTTTCACAACTGGATTAAAGGGGCCGTTCACACAGGCACATCTGTCAGGCGTTCCCCACCCGTACTCAACCCGTCTTGTAACGCTTCGCTCCCGAGTTTAAAAAATACTTGGTGAAAGTGGTAGCAAACCCTGGAAAGCGCGATTATTCCGTGTTCATTCTGCACCAACAAAGTGTGAACGCCAAAAGCCGCGTTTTTCTTATGCAGTTATGCACATAAGCGCATATCTCCAGAATACCAAAAAGAAAGCCGCGCTTTACAGCCGTGCCTCCGGGCCAACAGTGTGAACGCTCCCTTGCGCCTTCTCCCGGTATGCTCCCGCATCAGTCGCTGCAGTGTGAACGGGAAAACCCGGAACAGTTTGTTACGGCTCTTTTTTGCCACGACTCCCTCCCGCTTTAAACTGCCAGTCTGAACTCGGCCTGTGGTGAAGTCTGAGGCATCCAGAGTTTGGGGAGAGGCCTCAGCTGGGTATAATGCCACAGAGTCCACCCATTTTCTCCAGGGAGACAGATCTCTGTTGTCTGGAGTTCAGTTGTAATTTTGGGGGATCTCCAGGTCCCACCTGGAGACTGGCAAACCTAGGCCTAGTTCAGATATTAGCTAAATAGCAAACGGATCAGCATCCTTTGTTAAAATATAACCAATCAGATTGCAATCAGCAGTGACAAGGAGCGCAGTTGTTTGGATCAAATGGTTATTTTGTCATCTCCACATCTGGAGCTGTAGGGAAGGGGCTGCGGCTCAGTGGCAGATAGGACTGCCAACTTCTGGGTTGAACCTGGAGATCTCCCACTATTACAATCGATCTCCAGACAACCAAGATCAGTTCCCCTGGAGGAAATGGCTGCTTTGGAGGGTGGCTTCTATGACATTACACCCCACTAAGGTCCCAACCTTCCCCAAACCCCACCCTCCCAAAGCTCCCCCCACCCCCCAAATCTCCAGGCATCTCCCAACCCAGGGCTGGTGACCCTAGTGGCAGAGTATCTGATTATTCAATCCCATGGGGCAGTGTCCAGTTTAAACAAAAAGGGTCATAAATGTGGGTTTTATGGCCCTGTAAACCCAGTCACGCTTTTGCAGGTACATGTGTGCTAGCTTCCGAAAAGCCTCCTGGTCTGTTTGCCACTTCTGTCTCTCTGCTTTATTGTAGATATCCCACCAGGACAAAAGATGCCATTATTGCTGCACCAAACACACCTTTAAGCTACCCCATTTACGGTGCTGAAGTGATGCCCTGGCACACCATTGTAATCCCAGGTATGCTGAGCACCAAACAGAAGTGAGCAGTGACTCACAGAAGCTCATACCCTACCACAAATTTTGTTAAACAGAGGGTGGGAATTGTGTTTTAAAACAACATAGTTCCTTTGTCTGACCTGCAAGGTAGAAGTTCTTCCTGGACGAATTGAATCACTAGTTGCCACTTTTCTGTTGTAGCTTAAGTGGGCCGTGGTCTTGGCAGTCATGTGAGAGCCAGTGTGGTTTACTGGTTAGAGAGTTGGGCAGGACAGGCTCAGATCCCTACTCAGGCAACTCTTTACAATTGGCTGAATAGCAAAACAGGGTTATCTGTCTCTCCCAAACCTTGAGGATTGTTTCTACTAAGAGACACAGTAACCAAAATCCAAAGGGGAGGTACCTACCCTTGAGAGAAACAGCTTTGATTGAATGGACTTTTCTTTTTTGACACAAGAATTAATCCCTGTCCCGGTTCTTGTATTTACTTACCGCTTCATGTGGTTTGTTTGTTTTTTGCTTTTGTTCCTAAAGGGCTTGGTTTCCATGGCAAAAGTACAGAAAAAGTCCAGGTAAGGTATTTCATAAAAACTTGGAAGTGTACATTATCACCCTGGGTTTCTAGGCAATACAACTGAGTGACCGTAGGTAATACCTAGGGTAGATTTGTGGTTTTTGCTTTGTATTTAACAAGTGTGGAAAAGCAAGAACTTCAGAAAGGCCTGTTTCTCAGGCTCAGAAAACTGGGTGGTTCTCAAGTGGCAGTGCAGATTGCGAATGTGTGTAGGGTTGCCAGGTCTGGGTTGGAAAATACCTGGAGACTTTGGGGGTGGATCTGGGAGAGAGCGGGGTTTGGGGAGAGGAGGGGCCTCTGCAGGGTACAATGCCACAGAGTCCACCCTTCAAAGCAGCCATTTTCTCCAGGGGAGCTGATCTCTGTCAGCTGGAGATCCCCAGGCCCCACCTAGATGTATGTAATCAGGGTTGCCATCCTCCAGGTGGGGTCTGGAGAGCTCCGTGAATTACAACTGCTCTCCAGATGACAGAGATCAGTTCCCCAGGAAAAAAAGGGCAGCTTTAGAGGGTAGCGTCAATGGCATTATACCTCTCTGCAGGCTCCAGCCCCAAATCCCCAGGAATTTCCCAACTGGAAGGTGGCAACCTTTTGTAAAATGAGCAGGCAATACAAACCAATAAAAAGTGTTTTGGTGCTTGTGACCGAAATTCCCAGTAGTTCTTCCTGCTACTGTGATTGAAACTGAGGTGGGGTAAATTCCACAAAGCACTCAATGGTCCTGTTCACACTAGGCGATTTGGGCCGGGAGCGGGACAGTTCGGGGGCGGAGCAAACCGGCGTGATCACACCACAACATCTGGGAAGCGTTGTGCTTCCGTCCCCGAACTGGCCCTTCCCCGCAAAAATCCGCCCCAACTTGCAACCACCTACCTTGGTGGTTTATCGGGAAGCTGCGCGGCAAGCCGGGCCGTTTGATCGCCGGCGCATCCCCGGCGCCTAGCCGAACTGCGCAAACTCTGGCAGCTAATTCAATATACTATTCAGTCTGGATGTGACTGGTTTGTTTATTCATTTTTTAAACAAATTCTAGGCCTGTCTTTATTCCCAAATGAATAGGAGAAAGTAGCAAAGTGGTGATTTTTATGAAATGAAGCTGGAAGGGATCTCAAAGGTCATTTAGTCCAACCCCCTACAGAATACAGGAAATTCACAGCAAACTTCCCCCTCCAACTCCCCCAGCAACCCCTGCTCTATGCCCAGAGGAAGGCAGGAATCCTCGGGCCAGTCTGGCCTGGAGGGGAATTCCTTCCTTACTCCAAAGTGGAATTGGCATTACCCGTGGCTTTTGATTTTTCCTACCTAAGTGCAGAACTTCACATTGGTTCTGTTGAAATTCATTTTGTTAGTTTTAGCCCAGCTTTCCATCCTGTCAACATCATCCTGTATCTTAATTCTGTCTTTTACTGTATTTGCCATCCCTCTAAATTCAGTATCACCTGCAAATTTAATGAAGACCACCTCTGTTCTGTGGTTTACAGGTTAGAGAGTTGGGCAGGACAGGCTCAGATCCCCACTCAGGCAACTCTCTACAGTTGGCTGAATAGCAAAACAGGGTATTCTGTATCTCCCAAACCTTGAGGATTGTTTCTACGACGAGACACAGTAACCAAGGTCCAAAGGGGAGGTCCCTACCCTTGAGAGAAACAGGTTTGATTGAATTGACTTTTCTTTTTTGACTCAAGTATTAAACCCTGTCCCGGTTCTTGTATTTACTTACCACTCCATGTGGTTTGTTTGTTTTTTGCTTTTGTTCCTAAAGGGCTTGGTTTCCATGGCAAAAGTACAGAAAAAGTCCAGGTAAGGTATTTCATAAAAACTTGGAAGTGTACATTATCACCCTGGGTTTCTAGGCAATACAACTGAGTGACCGTAGGTAATACCTAGGGTAGATTTGTGGTTTTCGCTTGGTATTTAACAAGTGTGGAAAAGCAAGAACTTCAGAAAGGCCTGTTTCTCAGGCTCAGAAAACTGGGTGGTTCTCAAGTGGCAGTGCAGATTGCGAATGTGTGTAGGGTTGCCAGGTCTGGGTTGGAAAATACCTGGAGACTTTGGGGGTGGATCTAGGAGAGGGCGGGGTTTGGGGAGAGGAGGGGCCTCAGCAGGGTACAATGCCACAGAGTCCACCCTTCAAAGCAGCCATTTTCTCCAGGGGAGCTGATCTCTGTCAGCTGGACTAATGAGTTCCTGCTGGGCTTTTTCTACAAAAAGAGCCCTGGCTACAACTGAGAATGAAGATCCTTCAGCCCTTATATCCAGGTTACAAGGTGGGAGGGGTGTTACTGAAAAGGGTGAATTGGAGTCAGGGTGCAAAATGTAATCAGCTTGGCTAAAATAAGTTGCCAACCTCCAGGTGGGACTTGGAGATCTCCTGGTATTACAATTGATCTCTAGGCTACAAGCAGCCTTAGAGGGTGGCGTCAATGGCATTATACCTCTCTGCAGGCTCCAGCCCCAAATCCCCAGGAATTTCCCAACTGGAAGGTGGCAACCTTTTGTAAAATGAGCAGGCAATACAAACCAATAAAAAGTGTTTTGGTGCTTGTGACAGAAATTCCCAGTAGTTCTTCCTGCTACTGTGATTGAAACTGAGGTGGGGTAAATTCCGCAAAGCACTCAATATAGAGCTGTTTTCCCCATAAAAATCCATCCCCACAAAAATCCATCCCCACAACCAGGGGTCATTTCCTGCAGGAGCGCACAGGAGCGGAGCTCCGGCAGTAAAGAGCCCAGGGGGCGGGAACATGCAACAAGCCCCACCCCCTGCTCCCAGCAGCCCTCAGTCAGAGCAAGAAGCAGCCAAGTAAGTTGCAGAGCCCCCCACCCGGCCCCTGGCCCAAAAGAGTCCAGTGGCACCTTTAAGACCAAGTTTTATTCAGGTACAAGTTCTCCCTCCTCTGCAAGGACAGATCTGCATGTCCCCCTCCCAATAGCTAGCAATCCAAAACAGTCCAGTGGAGCCTGAGCAGTGGGTGTTGCCTTCTGACACACTTCCGGTGATGTCAGGGTGTGTGGCATATGCAAATAAGTTATGCTAATGAGTTATGCTAATGAGCTCCTGCACCTCTTTTTCTACCCTGCCCACAACCAAGTGCCTTGTAAATGTCTATGCAGAAGTACGTCTCCTTCAGCAGAAGTTCCATTTCTTTCTGCCTTTGTCCTTTCTTGTTTGTGTTCAGCCTAATTAACTTCTTGTTTTCTGCATGTTGGTCTGTTCATTTTTTCATAAATTTGTTCTTTTGTCTGCAGTACAATTATTTACTTCCTGTTCTTTCTCTTGGGGTCCTCGTGAATCAATTGTTAGTGGGGGGCTCTTTTTCCCAGGAAGTAGGAGAAATAAAAAGTTCTGATTTTTACTTTTAGCAAGCTGAAGTCACTCCTTATAGTTGTTTTGGGTGGGTGGCCCAAAATAGTTGGATTAAGAAATAACCACAATAGAAATAAACAGAAAGGTCAGTTTCTTTGGTCAATGGCAAAATACAATACGGTAGTTACACCTAATTATCTACTAATGTTTTCTGACCACCTCTAGAGATCCTGCCATCCACCTGAAAGAACAGGAACTTGTTCAGTTGAGAGGAGAAAGAAGAGATGAGATTTTAAAGGGGCAGTAGTCCTGTAATGCCTGGATAGGATTTTGTCCAAACAGGATAACCTGACCTCCACAAATCTGGTCTAAAAAAATACCTGACCCCAGCCAAGGCATCATCAGGATTGCTCATTTAAAAAATAACTGAACCTTAGCAATTCCAGAAGAAATGGAATTTTCCGGTGTAGAAGCTTCCATGAGTCAAAGCTCACTTCATTGGCTACAACCAAGGCTATTTTTGGCCAGGAACGCACAGGAACGGAGTTCTGGCTAGCTTCCAAGTTGGCCATGCCCAGCAGGAACTCATTAGCATAATAGGCCACACCCAACAGCAGAAACTCATTAGGATTGGCTACATTAGGGGTGTGTGACCTAACATGCAAAGGAGTTCCTGCTACAAAAAAGCCCTGGGTTTTGACCACAAACAAGGTAAACAGAATAAGAAGCAAAAGGTGGGTGTGGCTGGATGAGCACATTTCTGGTAACATGGGGATGTGGCCTAATATGCCAATGAGCTGTGCTGTCAGGGGTGTGGCCTAATAGGCGAATGAGTTTCTGCTGTTGGGTGTGGCCTATTATGCTAATGAGTTCCTGCTGGGCTTTTTCTACAAAAAGAGCCCTGGCTACAACTGAGAATGAAGATCCTTCAGCCCTTATATCCAGGTTACAAGGTGGGAGGGGTGTTACTGAAAAGGGTGAATTGGAGTCAGGGTGCAAAATGTAATCAGCTTGGCTAAAATAAGTTGCCAACCTCCAGGTGGGACTTGGAGATCTCCTGGTATTACAATTGATCTCTAGGCTACAAAGAGAGTTCCCCTGGAGAAAATGGCTGCTTAGGACGGAGGGTGGATTCTGTGGCACTGTACCCTGCTGAGGTCCCCACCCCTCCCCAAACCTTGTCCTCTCCAGGCTCCATCCCCCAAATCTCCAGGTATTTCCCAACCCAGAGCTGGCAACCCTAACTAAAGCTGTGAGATATGCATAGGGATGAGACATACAGAAAATTAGTATTTGAATGAGATAAGAAACGTCTGAGCTATTAAGGGAGGGGGGCTTCCATTGTCCTCAACTCGCTAATGAATTCTAATTCAGCAATCTTGTGTGGTAATCTCTCTTTGAAGCTTCTGTGTAGGAGAACTGCCACTTAGATCACCGAGGAATGTCTTGGAAGATTCAAATGTTCTCCCACTGATATCCTGAAAAATATGCTTTCTGGACATACCCCTAATCATTTGGGATCACAGTTCAAACTCTGGCAGCTAATTCAACATATTATTCAGTCTGGATGTGACTGGTTTGTTTATTCATTTTTTAAACAAATTCTAGGCCTGTCTTTATTCCCAAATGAATGGGAGAAAGTAGCAAAGTGGTGATTTTTATGAAATGAAGCATAGATATATAGGGCTGGAAGGGACCTCAAGGGTCATTTAGTCCAACCCCCTACAGAATGCAGGAAATTCACAGCAAACTTCCCCCTCCAACTCCCCCAGCTACCCCTGCTCTATGCCCAGAGGAAGGCAAGAGCCCTTCAGAATCCTTAGGAATCCTCGGGCCAGTCTGGCCTGGAGGGGAATTCCTTCCTTACTCCAAAGTGGAATTGGCATTACCCGTGGCATTTGATTTTTCCTACCTAAGTGCAGAACTTCACATTGATTCTGTTGAAATTCATTTTGTTAGTTTTAGCCCAGCTTTCCATCCTGTCAACATCATCCTGTATCTTAATTCTGTCTTTTACTGTATTTGCCATCCCTCTAAATTCAGTATCACCTGCAAATTTAATGAAGACCACCTCTGTTCCTTCTTTGGATCTGAGCAAATGAGTCCCAACAAATGTCTGTGCGATAAGGTTTGCATGCAATTTGGTTTCTAAGACTCTGCTCCTAAGTCTTCCCCTCTTTTGCAAAACGATAGGTGGTTCTACGAGCCTCGCTTGGTACTTTGAACACCCTCGCTGATACATCCAAAGACGTGGTGCACGGGCGAGGGGGGAAAGAGCTGACCATCTCCACCTCCAATGTGAAGCTACTAAATCACATACTGGGACACGTCACGTACACCAGTACAGTATTTCTAGTCAATGCTGTAGACATGGGTGAGTTGAAATACTGGAATTAGGGTTGCCAATCTCCGGGTGGGGCTGGAAATCCCACAGGATTACAACTGACATCCAGACAACAGAGATCAGTTCCAGAAAATGGCTGCTCTGGAGGGTGGACTCCATGGCACTATATCTTGCTGAGGCCCCTCCCTTCTCCAAACCCCACCCTGAAATGTCCAGGAATATCCCCAACTCAGAGCTGGCAACCCTAGATAGTCTGGACAAACCTGCCAAGTGCTGGACCAGGTCTGTGTTTTTATCTTAAATGCGGAGTTCCCTAGCTTTGGAAGTACTGTGGGAATTTAGAGAAAGCGTAGAGAATGCCACTTCAAAAAAAAATGCCTGTCATATAGGTGTGGCCAATTACAAAACAGCTGCCATTGGGTCCCAAGGCCAATGACAAAACTTTGGGTTATTTCTGCAGACACCACCTTAGCTGGTATTTGCATAAGGTGTGAACTGATTTTAAAAAAGCAAGAGCAAAATATTACCTTTAATGTAAGCTATGCATGGTTTCTATATGCCCACTCATAACTGCATTGTAGCCGATCTTATGAACAGTATTGGCCGTTTTGATTCAACCATATGCCCTGCAGCACTTGAGGGCCAGCCAACATGTGACATCCAGTTCTGTTGGGACTGATCTTCAGGAAGAACTTGAAGAACTCAAATTTCCCACAAAACCTAAACTCGTTACTGCTCCCTTCTCTGCTATTCTGCCTGCAACGCATGTCCTCTACCGTTTGTGACTGAAAGCTGCAATCAGGCAAACACCTAATTGGCTGTGTCCCAATTGCTTTCCAGTGAGCTTTGAAACAGGGTCATACCTTGTTAAATTTCCTGTGACCATCCGACAGCTGCCTCTTCCCAAGCTCTTTGACCCAGGATCAGGTGAGCAATTTTACATAGTGTGATGGAGTAATGCCATCGATTTGGGCCGATTCAAACTTTATGGAGTATACAGCTTGGGTTGTGGATTCTCAGTTCATGTGTGTGTGGTGCCCTAACTGGATCAGGACCACAGTGCGCACAGAGAAGGAGCTTCAGCCTTCCCCCCTGCACCGTTTTCCCTACATGAAATAGTGAAATAGTCCTGGGGGGTGCCTTATGGGGAGATTTCGCAGGCCTGGGACAGCTGAGCGCTGGGGAAATGATGTGGGCAGGAAGGCAAGAGCCCCTTCTCCGCAATTGCCATGGTCCTGATCTGAACTGGGCACCACATGGGCAGGAATTGACCCAGCCTGGGTACCCCAGCAGCCTATGTAGTCTGTAGTGTGTGAATCAGCTCATCACCCATAGCGGGGAAAGCACAATCCTGGGATTAGAATTGCCAACAACCTGGAGACAAAATGTCTTGCCCCTTTAAGAGAGGCTTAAATGTGTGGAAATGGGCAGCTGAAGATTTTCATGGCAGAGCCGTAGGTAACATCACCTAGTAAATAGCATCCCATTAAGCCTCTGGTAGTCTGATCTGGTCAGATCTTGGCTGCTAAGCAGGATTGGCTGTGGTAAGTATTTCGATGGGAGACCACTAAGGAAGTCCAGGGCTACTACGAAGAGGCAGGCAATGGTAAAAAAGGTAAAGGTAAAGGTTTCCCTTGCTCGAAAGCCAGTCGAGGCCGACTCTAGGGTTGTGGTGCTCATCTCCGTTTCAAAGCCGAAGAGCCAGCGCTGTCCGAAGACGTTTCCGTGGTCATGTGGCCGGCATGACTAAACACCAAGGCGCACGGAACACTGTTACCTTCCGACCAAAGTGGTACCTATTTATCTACTTGCAATTTCTTGCTTTCGAACTGCTAGGTTGGCAGGTAAACCACCTCTCAATGTCACTTGCCTTGAAAACTTTATGGGGATGCCATAAATCAGCTGTGACTTGGTGGCACTTTCCACTGCCAAAGGGGCAAGACTCCCCCCCCCTCCACGTTGCTAGCAACTCTGTCCAGGACCTTCACAGCAAGGGGTCTCCTCCAAACTGCAGTAGGTAGTCCAAGCTGGGTCCTGTATACAGACCTGTGTTTAATACTGCTTTGTGTCTGGTTGCCTTTTGCAAGATAAAATTTACATGTTGCCTGCACAACCTTTGCTGAACAAAGCCTGGCGGTGACTTTGGTTCAGTTTGATAGGAATCTCAGCATTCTGAATATAGGTATTTGCAGGGGTCGTTTCGTAGAAAAAGAGCTAGGGGAACTCATTAGCATATGCCACACCCCCTGACATCAGGGGCCCGGCGGTGGACCTGTAAGGCCGGCGGGAGTGCGAGGAAGCCCCGCGAAGGCCCTCCCTGGCCCCAGGCAGGCAGGGGTGGGGAGAGGCGGGGAGGAAGCAACTTACCCTCCCTCTTCTCCTGCCTCCTCCTGGCTGAATGAGGGCCGGAAGCGGGGCGGCCGGAAGCAGGGGGCGGGGCTCTGTTGTGTCCCCTCCCCCCCCCCCCGCACCTCACCCGGGGGAACTGCGATCCCCCGCGATCCCCCCCTGAATCGACCTCTGGGTATTTGGAGTTGGAATCACTGAGTCTCCAGGGGCTGTTTCAACATTGCCATGGGCAAGCAGATGGTTTTTGCAGTTTATGAGCCAAAGATCGAAGGACGGTTCTTGCCAACATGATGAGCCTTGCACTAAGAATGCTGTGTAGCCTGAAACGCAACGTCAGTGATATTGGGGGATATACGTCTGTCTAGAAAGTCAGAAAAACACTTCTGGTTACTCATGAATTTCCTTTCGCAGCGGTACAAGCAACTTGGAAGCGGAAATTTTTGGTGGGGGAAAATGGCTTGAGGAGAGTAGTTAAATAACTCTGTTGCTACACTGGACAGCTCCTCTATATTGCAAGCCCTTAGAAACAGAATCTGTTTCTAACTCGCAGGGCTTGCGATCTAAAGGAAGTAAGCACAGACTTACATGTAAGAGTGCATCTTTGCTTCTTTTCTGTTCTCGGAATGAAGTCTTCTAAATAAAGGGGATCGAGCTTGATTCACAGCATCCAGTAGTACCCTGGTGTCTGTGTGTCTGATCTGCTATACGGAGGGAATCCAGTGCTGTTTTTATTTATTTATTTATTTATTATTTACATTTATATCCCGCCCTCCCCGAAGGCTCAGGGCGGCAAACAACATGTAATTGATAAAACAGTAAAAACATTAAAACAATACAAAATATTAAAATTACATCATAATTTATAGCCTATCTAGAACAAAACTAGCTAAAAACCAAGATGGCGGTCCTCCAAGCGTCCCAGTCTTGCCCATGCTGCGAAAAAAGGGTATTTAGGGCTCTGGCAAACCATGCCCATATCTAGATGTCCGGGTTCAGCTGCTGGGGGGAAAAACACACACACCTGTCTACCTGTGAAGATGCTGCTGTGGCAACAAACAAAGACAGTGGTGGTTGTGGTGTGGGTAAACATGGGATGTGCTTGTCCAAGCACACTGGGAGCAAGTCAGACTTCATTGATGCCGCTGCCTCATCTTGGTCATGTGCAGTGTTCCCTCTAAGCTGAGTTAGTGTGAGCCTAGCTCACAGTTTTTTAGCCTCCGGCTCACACATTTTTGTCTTAGCTCAGGAAGGGTTGGCTTCCAGAGCAAACTAATTTATGCAGTAGCAAAATCGCTCGCTCACAACTTTAATGCCAGTAACTGACAAAGAAGAATTTTTGCTCACAGGACTCCACAGCTTAGAGGGAGCATTGGTCATGTGGGTGGAGAATGGGCCCCAGGCAGTGCCTCATCCATTGTTCACCATGTGTTGCCTACTCCTGCTCTAGACCAGGTGGCTCCAACGTGGTGCCCACAGGTGCCATGGCGTCTGCCAACATATTTTCTGGCACCTGCCGAGAGTTTTGAGGAAATGGGTGTGGCTTTTGCCCAGTAAGGCTTCTGCGGGACTGCTGGAGGTTTGATGGGCTCTGCAGGTGTTTAAAAGTGTTGCTTTGGCACCAACGGCCAGCACTGCGAAAGGATCGACACTGTGTGGCTGAAGTTAAGCCGTGGCAATCGTTCTGTGGCTGGCTTCACCTCCTGCAGCTGCCATCCTGTTGGTGCGCCAACCGTGCGATGTCAGAATTCCAAATGTCCCGCGCAGGCTCGAAAAGGTTGGGGGTCCCTGCTCAAGCGTGTGAGCAAATGTACACTTTGCAATCAATGCAGTGCTGATTCTGTGAACTTAGGCAGATCATGAGATGTTAGGGCAGGAAGGGTTGCATCAGTGCTTAGTTCTTGTGGCACTTTCTTACACGCCCATGGAAATGCCGGTCGCCACTTTTGGCGACAGGAGACAATTTTCTCCAGGCCAGTTTGTCCGGGGATCCTGGAGGTTTTTTGGAGGTTTTTTGCCATCTTGTGGGCCTGGAGCAGGGGTCACTGGGGGCGTGTGTGTGTGGGGGGAGGTAGTTGTGAATTTCTTGCATTCTGCCAGGGGTTGGACTAGATGACCCTGGAAACCCCTTCCAACCCTATATAGGGGGCTTTCACACACATTAAATAATGCACTTTCAATCCACTTTGCAACTGGATTTTACTGTGTGAAATGGCAAAATCTATTTGCAAACGGTCGCTGAAGTGGATTGGAACTGCATTATTTAGCATGTGTGAAAGTGCCCAAATTATGATTCTACGATTCAGTCAGTAGCCGGTTTGGTGTAGTGGTTAAGAGTGGTGGACTCTAATCTGGAGAACCAGGTTTGATTCCCCCTTCCTTCACATTCAGCCAGCTGCATGATTTTGGGTCAATCACAGTTCTCCCAGAGCTGTTCTCTCAAGAGCAGTCCTCGAAAGAGCTCTTTCAGCCCCACCTACCTCACAGGGTGTCTGTTGCGGGGAGAGGAAGGGAAGGAGATTAGAAGCCACTCTGAGACTCTGAGACTGATTTCACACAAGAGCTGTGCCGCGGTCGCGCCTCCCTTTGCCTCGCTACTGTTGGTCAATTTCCCACTTGAAACCGTGTGGCCGCATTTTGACCCGCGGCTTCGCCCGATTTTCTCCGCAGTTTCGTGATCCTGTTTTTTGAGGATCAGGAAACCGCGGGGGAAATCGGGCGAAGCCGTGGGTCAAAATGCGTCCGCAAGGCTTCGAGTGGGAAATTGACCAATAGAAGCGGGGCAAAGGGAGGCGCAACCGCGGCACAGCTCTTGTGTGAAATCGGTCTGAGTGAAGGGCAGGGTATAAACCCAACTATTCTTTTTAGTGTGTTAGCCATTAATACAAGACTCTCAGAGAGCTCAGGCAAATTGGAAAAAAAGGCATTGGTTTCGTATTGTGTGCACTCACTTTCAGACCCATTTCTTTTTATGCTGCAGATAACAACATCCGGGACCTCGTGACCATCACCACCAAGACTTTCTTGCGGTACCACAAGCTGCGGGTCCTCCTTAAAAGCATAAGACAGTTTTACCCAGACATCAAGGTGATTGTGGCAGATGACAGTGAGCATCCAGAGAAGATTGAAGAGGCCAATGTCGAGCACTTCATCATGCCCTTTGGAAAGGTACCAGCGCGGGGTGCTTCTCTTTTTGTTACCAGTCACCTGAAGAACCAATCCTGGCTACCCTTGAGGTTGGCAATCCTGGGCTTTTGGATGTCTCTGCAGCAAAGGGATACTTGATGGGCTGGAGCTCATGCTGAGCTTGGAATCCATGGGTTGGATCCTCTCAACTGGTTCCACTTGCCATACACATGCCTTTGGTCTATGTGGATTTACATGCATGTAGCATGTTCTTCTTCAGTGTCACCACCCCAAGTTGAATCCAGCTTCCCATGTTCCCATCCAGGCAGGATGATAAAATCAAAATAAATGAACAAAAAGGTTCCAGGTGGTCAGCTGTGTTGATTTGAAGCAGTAGAACAAATTTAGAGTCCAGTGGCACCTTTAAGACCAACAAAGGTTTATTCAAGGTATGAGCTTTTGTGTGCATGCACACTTCCTCAGGTATGTGCATACGAAAGCTCTTACCTTGAATAAACCATTGTTGGTCTTAAAGGTGCCACTGGACTCTAAATTTGAACAAAAAGGGTTGTGTGAGATAGAAAAGCGCATCTTTCAGGTGAAGGTGTTAAGGTCTCTTTGTCTACATTGGACTTGCATTGGACGGGTCTAGCTCTTACCTGATTACCGCGTAGGATGCTTGATTCCAGAGCAGTGCCCAGTGAACAGGTGAAATTGCTTCCTTGACCTTCCAGGTGGCCTGGCCAACCACTGAGAAAGGAGCTCTAACAAAAGCATACCACCAAGGCAGCCATTTTATGTGCTGCCACCACTGGAGACTCAACAGGAGGTGGCACAGAACAGGGCCTTTTTGCTGGTGGACACGTCCTTTCCTGTGATGCCTGATCAGCTTCCTCCCCAATGGCTGTCAGGAAATCTTCTAAGATCTATTTGTTTTGTAACACTTTTTGCTTTTTAAGTGTTGCTACCTTTCCAGTAGTTAAGCTGTTGATTGTGTGTGTTTATTCTAGACAGCGCTGTATATTGAATTTGAAGGTTTTTATACTGTTGTGGGGGGGGGGGGACTGTGTTGCCAAAAGGCAAGAAGCATGTTTTATTGCAGTTTTTTTCCTTCCTTTGCCCTGGTTTGTATCTTATCAGGGTTGGTTTGCGGGGAGAAACCTTGCTGTCTCTCAGGTGACAACCAAATACTACCTCTGGGTGGACGATGACTGCCTGTTTACCAAAAACACTAAGATCGAGAAACTGGTTGAAGTGCTGGAGAACACCAACTTGGATGTGGTATGAAAATTTGGCCAATATCCAGGACTAGGGGTTTCCAGCAGGCCCGGAGGGGAAAAAGTCCTGTCCCTTATTGACTTAGTTTATATCTACCTTTCCCCCCAATGGGGGTCCAGAGCAGCTCACAACATTCTCCTCTTATCCTCACAGCAACCCTGTGAGGTAGGTTAGGCTGAGTTTGTGTGAGTGGTCTGAGATCACACAGTAGGCTTCCATGGGAGAGTGGGAATTTGAACCTGGGTCTTCCAGATCATAAGAGAACATAAGAGAAGCCAGTGTTGGATCAGGCGAATGGACCCATCTAGTCCAACACTCTGTCACACATTGGCCAAAAATACCAAGTGCCATCAGGAGGTCCATCAGTGGGGCCAGGACACTAGAAGCCCTCCCACTGTTGCCCCCCACCAAGCACCAAGAATACAGTGCATCACCTGCCCCAGCCTATGAGTTCCTATCTATACCTTGTGGCTAATAGCCACTGATGGACCTCTGCTCCATATGTTTATCCAGTTCCCTCTTGAAGCTGTCCATGTTTGTAGCCGCCACCACCTCCTATGGCAGTGAATTCCATGTGTTAATCACTCTTTGGGTGAAGAAGTACTTCCTTCTATCTGTTCTAACCTGACTGCTCAGCAATTTCATTGAGTGCCCACAAGTTCTTGTATTGTGAGAAAGGGAGAAAAGTACCTCTTTCTCTACCTGCTCTATCCCATGCATAACCTTATTAACCTCAATCATGTCCCCCCTCAGCCGTCGTTTCTCCAACCTAAAGAGCCCCAAGCACTTTAACCTTTCTTCAAAGGGAAAGCGTTCCAACCCTTTTGTCATTCTAGTTGCCCTTTTCTCTACTTTTTCCAATGCTATAATGTCCCTTTTGAGGTGTGGTGACCAGAACTGTACACAGTACTCCAAATGAGGAAGTGCCATCGATTTATGCAGGGGCATGATGATACTTGGCTGATTTGTTTTCAATTCCCTTCCTAATAATCCCCAGCATAGTGTTAGCCTTTTTTATTGCAGTCACACACTGTGACACCCTAGTGTGACACCCTGGTTAATCAAACTGACTTTCCATTGAGAGCTCATAACGGATGTTAATATTTGCCTTCATACCATGAGACTCTTTCTCTGAATGTGGCAGTTCCCTTTAGTCACCATGGCTAGGAGCTGCTGGTAGACCTCTCCTCCCTGAATCTGTCAAATCCCCTTTTAAAGCCATCTATGCTGCTGAACTGCAGGCTGTGGAAGGTCAGTAGTTCAGCAGTTCAAGACCCGGTTGCCGCAAGATGGGGTGAGCTCCCGTCTCTGGTTCCAGCGCCTGCCAACCTAGCAGTTCGAAAGCAAGAAATTGCAAGTAGATAAATAGGTACCGCTTTGGTGGGAAGGTAACAGCGTTCCGTGCGCCTCGGTGTTTAGTCATGCCGGCCACATGACCACGGATACGTCTTCGGACAGCGCTGGCTCTTCGGCTTTGAAACGGAGATGAGCACCGCAACCCTAGAGTCGGATTCGACTGGCTTTCGAGCAAGGGAACCTTTACCTTTTTATGCCTGTGGCTATCACTAGATCCTTTGGCGGCGAATTCCACATTTTAATCACTTGTTGTGTACAGAAGTCCTGAGCCTACTGCCCATCAGCTTCACTGAATGCCCTTGAGTCCTAGTGTTTTGGGAGAGAGAGAAAATGTCTCTTTTCCCAACTGAAAAGTCCCAGACTCTTCAGCCTTTCCTCATAGGAAAGATGCTCCAACCCCCTAATCCTCTTGGAAGCAGTTCTCTCACTCCTCGGAGACATTTGCTGTCATCCATTATGGAATGAGGTATGCTTTCCCACTGAAGAAGAAGAAGAGATTGGATTTATACCCCGCCCTTCACTACTCGAAGGAGTCTCAGAGCGGCTTACAATCTCCTTTCCCTTCCCCTCCCCACAACAGGCACCCTATGAGGAAGGTGGAGCTGAGAGAAGCAATTTTTCTCCAGGCCAGTTTGGCTAGAGATCCTGGAGAATTTTTGTCATCTTCTGGGCATGGAACAGCGGTCACTGCGGGTGTTGAGAGGGAGGTATTTGTGAATTTCCTGCATTGTCCAGGGGGTTGGACTAGATGACCCTGGAGTTACCTTCCAACTCTATGATTCTGTGCTTCTGGTTTCTTTTAGCATTTTCCAAATGCTCTCTTGCTGCCAGTTCCAGTGATGATGCTTCCTGAACCCCACATCCTTCCACAGATTCCATTTTAGGTGGAATTTGGTTGCAGACATAGTTCAGACTCTCCGGTTTCTTTGTATGGAGAGCCCGTGTGGCATATTAGTTAGAGCAGGGCTTACACCAAATTGAAATAAATGGATTTTGGCATGCTTAATTCTCTGCTAGACGGCACATTCTCCTGTAAGAGATCCAGATGAATGCTGATTGTGTGAACTTTGGCAGATCACTGAGGGTTGCCTCAGTGCTTAGTTCTTCTTTCTTACACGCCCAGGGAAATGCTGATCACCACTTTGGGGTCAGGAAGCAATTTTTCTCCAGGCCAGTTTGGCTAGAGATCCTGGAGAATTTTTGTCATCTTCTGGGCATGGAACAGCGGTCACTGCGGGTGTGGAGAGGGAGGTATTTGTGAATTTCCTGCATTGTCCAATGGGTTGGACTAGATGATCCTGGAGGTCCCTTCCAACTCTATGATTCTGTGATTCCTAACCCAACCTCCTGCTGCTAATAAGAAAGACATTCTAGTCACTGCCAGTGTTCCCTCTAAGCTGAGTTAGTGTGAGCTAGCTCACAGTCTTTTAGCCTCCGGCTCACACATTTTCTTACACGTCACACACATACAATCTCAAAAATGACAGAATGATTTCTGTCCGATTCCAAGGCAAACCATTCAACATCACAGTAATCCAAGTCTATGCCCCAACCACTGATGCAGAAGAGGCTGAAGTGGACCGGTTCTATGAAGACCTACAACACCTCATAGAACTAACACCAAAAAATGATGTCCTCATCATCATAGGGGACTGGAATGCTAAAGTAGGAAGTCAAAAGGTAAACGGAATAACAGACAAGTTTGGCCTTGGAAAGCAAAATGAAGCAGGGCAAAGGTTAACAGAGTTTTGTCAAGAGAACACACTGGTCATAGCGAACACCCTTTTCCAACAACCTAAGAGGCGACTCTACACATGGACATCACCAGATGGGCAACACCGAAATCAGATTGACTATATAATTTGCAGTCAAAGATGGAGAAGCTCTATCCAGTCAGTAAAAACAAGACCTGGAGCTGACTGTGGCTCAGATCATGAGCTACTCATTGCAAAATTCAGACTTAAACTGAAGAAAATCGGGAAAACCACGAGGCCATTCAGGTTTGACCTAGATCGCATCCCTGATGAATATACAGTAGAGGTGAAGAATAGATTCAAGGGTCTGGATTTGATAGATAGAGTGCCTGAAGAACTATGGACAGAGGTTCGTGACATCGTACAGGAGGCAGCAATCACCACCATACCAAAGAAAAAGAAATGCAAGAAAGCAAAATGGCTTTCTGATGAGGCTTTACAAATAGCAGAGGAAAGAAGGAAAGCGAAAGGCAAAGGCGAAAAGGAAAGATTTACCCAACTGAACGCAGATTTCCAGAGAACAGCAAGGAGAGATAAGGAGGCCTTCCTGAATGAACAGTGCAAAGTAATAGAAGAAAACAATAGAATGGGAAGGACTAGAGATCTCTTCAAGAAAATTGGAGAAATCAAGGGAGCGTTCCATGCAAAGCTGGCCATGATAAAGGACAAAAACGGTAGGGACCTAACAGAAGCAGAAGAGATTAGGAAAAGATGGCAAGAATACACAGAAGAACTATACAAGAAAGACCTCAATGTCCTTGACAAACACGACGGTATAATCACTGACCTTGAGCCAGACATCCTGGAATGTGAAGTTAAATGGGCCTTAGAAAGCATTGCTAACAACAAAGCTAGTGGAGGTGATGGTATTCCAGCTGAGCTATTCAAAGTCTTAGAAGATGATGCTGTTAAAGTGCTGCACTCCATTTGCCAGCAAATTTGGAAAACGCAACAGTGGCCACAGGATTGGAAAAGATCAGTATACATTCCAATCCCAAAGAAGGGCAATGCCAAGGAATGTTCAAACTATCGCACAATTGCACTCATATCACACGCTAGCAAGGAAAAGAGGAGAGCGCAAAAGTGGGCTTGAAACTCAACATAAAAAAAACTAAGATCATGGCATCCGGCCCCATCACTCCTTGGCAAATAGAAGGGGAAGTCATGGAAGTAGTGACAGACTTCATGTTCCTGGGATCCCAGGTCACCGCAGACTGTGACTGCAGCCATGAAATTAAAGGACGCCTGCTCCTTGGGAGGAAAGCGATGGCGAACCTAAACAGCATGATAAAAAGTAGAGACATCACCCTGCCAACAAAAGTCCGCATGGTCAAAGCAATGGTATTCCCAGTAGTCATGTATGGCTGCGAGAGTTGGACTATAAGGAAGGCCGAGCGCCGAAGAATAGATTCTTTTGAACTATGGTGCTGGAGAAGACTCTTGAGAGTCCGCAAGAAGATCAAATCAGTCAGTCCTAAAAGAAATCAACCCTGACTGTTCCCTGGAAGGCCAGATAATGAAACTGAAGCTCAAATATTTGGCCACCAAATGAGAAGGGAGCACTCACTGGAGAAGACCTTGATGCTGGGAAAGATTGAAGGTCAAAGAAGACGGGGACGGCAACGGATGAGATGGTTAGACAGTGTCATCGATGCAACGAACATGAAATTGAGCCAACTTCAGAGGACGGTGGAAGACAGGAGGGCCTGGGGGGAGATGATCCATGGGGTCGCGAAGAGTTGAACTCGACTGCGACTGAACAACAACAACAACAACACACATTTTTGTCTTAGCTCAGGAAGGATGGCTCCAGAGCAAACTAATTTATGCAGTAGCCAAATCGCTCGCTCGCAACTGTAATGCCAGTAGCTCACAAAGTAGAATTTTTGCTCACAAGGC